TAATCATTTGCTGGTGTGATATTAATTTCAAGTTCAAATTCATGATTAGCCAATAGTGCTTAGCCTTTAGTTAATATTTTTTGTTAGATTGTAAATTGAGCATTTTTAGTTAATATTTAAAATATGAATCTTTCATGAATTTATGCCAATTAAACCTATATTTTCATTATTCGTTACATTTTAATTTTCGACACATTTAGCTTGTAAGAAAACTGAATTTATTTTATATCATCGTAAATTATAAAAAATAAAATATTTTGATTAATTAACATTATAAATTCATTTTTAATTTTAACGTGATATTACAGTAGCCAGGTAAATTGTGTTATTTAATACATTTCACATTGTCATAAAGATTTTCAATTTAATCTTTTCAAAAATCAAATGCTTTATTCAAATTAGTAGAGCTAATGGTATTCGCGTTAATTAAAAAGTATTTTTTAATTATTTAAAGAAAAATAAACGTTATTAAATTCATTATCCTAAAATGAATTTTTACACATCACAATGATGATAATTTTTTGAAATTTATTTCGAGATATAAATGAATTATAACCACAAGTATACATTTGGAACGTCACTCATAACATTAGATACATTAATTATTTTCTCCCATACCTAATCGTAAGTTTTATTAACATTTCTTATAAATCCATTCTCGTTATCTTAAAAATAACATATAAATAAATATATATAATATAATATAATAAACATATAGATTACATTTTTTACTTATGCTTATTTAATAGCTACTTTTTATAATTGCGTAATACTAAATTATTTTCTTTATTTTTTTTTTTTTTTTTTTTTTTTTTTTTTTTTTTTTTGTACCAACCAATCACCAACTACGGTTTGCCCCTTTAATTTCTCTACTTAATACTACGCTAAAATTAGTTTATTTGTGCCAAGAATTGATCGAATCTAATTTTCATGCAGGTTGAATTAATTATTATATTAAGTGTATAAATATAAAGAACATCGAGTTAAATGATTAATAATCTTAATTGGTTATATTTAAAAATTTTTACTTAAAAAATATAGCTATTTTATTCGTTTGATTAATAATCATTTGTCGCAGAATATTTTGAATTTTACATAACAAAGAGTTTTAATTATTTATAATAATTATTACTAATGTTTAAATGACGAACAAAACAAAAAAAAAACAGATACTGACCTGTTTATTAATTTTATTATTTATTATTTTCTTTATATTATTAAATTCATTTTGTACTTTGAAATTTATATTCACGCACATATATTTACATATTTACATATTTGCATTTTTATATGCATGTTATTAACTATGAGTTCTTACTTGATTTACATGTAAATTATTTATCATTCTTCACACTCGAGATATTTTCATTCTACCACAAATATTTATAATCTATTCGTTGAAGTATTTATATCATTTAAATTAAATTAAAAAACTACACGTATATGAACACAATTTCAGCGTTATTATTTACAAACAATATTAATTTACATATTTGATCGTACGTATCACAGTATTCTTTTTTCTATTATGGCAAAGAAACGAGAACCCATACATAGATATTATTTATATTATTAATACGCGATTGTATGCGCAATCTTTTAAATATAAATTAATATATATATATATATATATATATATATATATATATATATATATATTTATTTATATATTAATTGGAATACTTTCATTCTTTCATAAATTCATTTTGACAAATTATAAAAAATAGAATTATTTTATTATATTTTATTGTTGAATTTTATTTCCCATGCAGTTAATTCCTTATTTTCAGTGTTTTTTTTTTTTTTTTTTTTTTTTTTTTTTTTTTTACAGTAATGCGTGTAGAATATGCACATCTTATAAAAGCAATTATATAGATGTAATTATTATTTAAACTAAGAATACGGATGATATGCTAATATTAAATTAATTATTATGCAGTTATTAAATTTATGATAGATAGACTATCTAACATAGTTATAGTATAGAAATTTGGGATGATAGCTATAACCACTAAATGAATTATCATTTTGAAAATGTTCATGTTAACTAATATTTTCATAAGTCAATCGATGCTTATGGGCTATATGTACTTGTATTATTCTATTGATGTAGCAATTGTCATGTGATGTAATTCGATTAAAATTTATTACATTGTCAGTAGATAAATGTAATCAAATGTGGTTTTCTCGAATGATTATGACATCTGAATAGTCTTACAATTTTAATGTTAATTCGAAAATTATTAACAATCCAATTTTTGTGATTTAGCAACGCATGGTATGTCAATTTTAATACGTTTTTTGTTTATTTTCAATGTTAAGTTCCAATATGCAGATAAAAAATTCAATTTCTTTAATAGTACTATAAAAATATGCGAAATACGTAAATTATAATATTTAGGAATTTCAAACGTAAATAAGGTATGATACATTCCATAGGAGCTTTAAACAATATTTATATGACACAATACAACGTAACAAAGTTTTCGAAACATTAAATTAACTTAAAATTTTTCTAAAATAGTATGTTAAATACGAATTATTTTACTGGTATAATACATAATTTAAATAGTTTAAATTAAGTATGAATTATTTAAGATTAAATTGATATAGTAAAATGAATAAGCGCAATGTGTTAAAATGTAATGACTTAAATCATTTGTTATTGTATACAAATCAGAATAATTTGTTAATCATATATTGAATACTACAAACATTTCACAATATAAAATACTTCAGTAATGTAAATATTTTCCCTTGCTATGTCATATTCTTCTCCATTTAGATATTCGATGAGATCAGATCACTTAAAGAATGGCAAATGGAATCAGGACATTATCGATGGAATCCCTGTTCGAAATTTCTAACATCCGTTATGGAATCGAATAAGTTTCATAAAAAAAAAAAAAAAAAAAAAAAAAAAAAAAAACACTGAAAATAAGGAATTAACTCCTATATAGTAATTAATTTAAATATGATTTAAAACTTTATCGGCGAAATTAATGAAAATTAATGAAAAATAGTAAGTAAATTACAAAGCAAATGGTCAGAAATTTTCTTTAAATTTACAATGATTTTAGTATCAAATGTTATAATATATACACGAAAGAGATTTTATTTAAAGATCCAAAATTATTTCCCTAATTAATTATCTTAGATAGGAGAAACTGGCACGTCCTTCATCGTTACTATAAAATGAATTTATCTTTGGTAAAAATATTGGATAAATCTAATGGATATATCTATACAAATTATTATTTTATTAATTATTTCAGCAACTATTATTTGAGTAAATAAAGCCCTTTTTACGTTATTTTTTAATAAATAAATTTATGATTCATTAAATTCGTAGCTTCTTTTAGAAATAAAGTAATCAATATCTAGGCATTTTTATAATTTATACGGAGCTGTATTCAGTGCTCGAATTAATAATTGTTAATGAGATGTTATCTGTATGACAAATTGGAATTTTATCCTAATTGTGACGGTTTAAGGATGTTGGAAGATGAATTTATGAAATTGTTTAAGAACATTTCTATGCAGAGAGTTAAAACTATATTATATCCATCAGTACGTGACTTATAGAAAAGTAGAAAAGAATAAATATATTAAAAACATTGATACGTGTGAAATGGGAAAAAGTGAAATTAATGGAGGAAAAAAAAATGATGATTGTAAAATGTATTTTTGAATTGTTATTAACTGAATTATTACTACGTTTGTTTGGGAATCGAACGTTAAGAAACTCAAGCGACAAAAATACTTGAAGATTTTGATAAAGATATGAATAAAAGGATCAACTCAATATTATCGGTTATTTTTGTTCCAAATTTGTAGAGAAGAGGGTTATTTATAAATGATAAAAGTCTCAAGCTATATTCCCTATTTTTTTAATTTAACGTGAATGATGATAAGCTGATTTGAAGTCTTTATGTTAAAAAAAAAAGTCCGAGCAATAAATACTTCGGTTACTCAAAGTCTTAAAAAATTAACACGAGTTTAGTGATAGTGTTTAGTGATAATTAGTAATAGAGTATAAGTAATTATATCATATTAATTTTATGACTATTGTATATTATAATGTTAACTAAAAGTATTTGTGATGTTAGAATACTTGATATCATTTTTAGGTAACAAAATTCATTTAAAATTCAAGCATTTCTTTTAATTAAGTTTATTTCACGAAACGTTTCTAAATCGTAATGAGATATATTTGTAATATAATTATTAAAAATTCTAAGTCTCATAAGACCGAACAGTGTTGACAATCGAACGTTGGTCATTTTCAAGAAGAAAATTATTTTAAATAATGTATATTATAATGAAATTCTAGATTAATTATGTATATCGATTAATAAGAATTCTGCAATTATATGATATTCATAGTAACACACGTATGTATATTTAAAGACCATAATATATAATAATAATTTATAATTTGTCTTTTTGAAATTAATTTATATATTATAGAAATAAATATAAAGATAGTGTAATTTGTAAAATGTTAATAATATTTATAAGATTGCAATGTTTAATATTAATAGCACAGTCAATAGCGAAATAAGATGTTTTCATAGAGTTATATATGTGATGATGGACATACCGCATACATAATAAAATAAGTTTAAATTTATTAAAGAACATTATATTTTATCTTTGAACAATTACATCATCTATAGGCATCTCATTCTAATATCAAATTCAAACGATGCCAATATATTTCTCATATAAAAAAAAAGGAATTTATTTGAAAAAATTCGTTCTGATTCGTATTAAAAATAATAATAATAATAATAATAATAATAATAATAATAATAATAATAATAATAATAATAATAATAATATAGTATTTATATTAAAACATATGTTGTTTCTTAAACAAATCGTAGTTTATGTAATCAAGTATCATAGGTATAGTGTTAAATATAGTATTTAAAATTTTATTTAAATGAATGAACGAACTTGGCTAATGATTATTAATATTAAAATTTCTTGTATAGGTATGGATCTTTGGAGATATTTGGTGTTCAATATGGTTAGCGGTTGATGTATGGATGTGTACGGCTTCGATTCTGAATCTCTGTGCCATAAGTCTAGACAGATACTTGGCTGTTACACGTCCAGTCAAATATCCTCAGGTAAGCAAATTAAGTGATTATACTTTATTTACATTGGATTTATGCGTATTACTAACGAGATTATAAGTCTAATGATCTAATAGGAAAAATTAAAAATCGTGTATAAATATTTGTATGTAATTAAATATGAGTATGGGTAATTTTATTAGTAAAAATTAGTGATAGAGTATAAGTAATTATATCATATTAATTTCATGACTATTGTATATTATAATGTTAACTAAAAGTATTTGTGATTTCTATACCAAACGTAACTACTTATCCATTTAAATAGAATTGAGATTGAAGAAGAATGCGAAATATAAAAATACGACATTAAATTACTTTTCAGCGTACTTTTCTTTTTTAAATATTCCATATGAGTATTTGGAAGAAGGATGTGCCTGGACAAAATATAAATAATAAATTAACCAAAGAACGGAATTATGCACAATACATCGGTATTCCTTTGAATATAATGGAATACGGTTTTATTCTCTTGCCCAACAATAAATATTTGTATATGCCCGCGTACGTTTGTACCAGCAGGGTAAATGGGACTGAACATTTCAAGAAAAGCAGTAAGAAGTTAGCGATACAGAGAATATAATACGCTTCATTAGAAATTATCAATTACCAACTTTTGCTTCATCGATTCATTAAAAAATATGTGTATAAATTAATAATGATACTTAGAATAATATAGATTAACTTAAATTTATGATAAACAACACGCACGCACGCACGCACGCACGTACGCACGCACGCACGCACGTTTTATCACCATCATCATCATCATCATCATTATTATTATTTATTTATTCATTTATTTATATATTTTTTTATTATTATTTTTTTTTTTACACATATACACATTCATAAATATTTTTCTACAATTTTTGAGCATTTTTTTGTATAATAAATTATGATGTCCCAGCATAATCATCATTAACTATAATGAATAGTGTCAAAGCGACCAGCTATATTTTTCTTAATGATATACAATGAAATTACTCGTTACGGTCTATTTTTTTATATTACAATGATTAATTATAAAATGCCTTCTATTAATTAGTAACATTTGTATCAATCAGATATTGAGGTCACTGCATATTAGTACTAATAAGTTCTTTGGTATAGTCGTTGGTATAAATATGAATATTAAAAATAAGAATAAAAAATGCATTATACATACTTATAGATTTATTTGAATATCTTGTACATATATTAAACAATCAAGCATTTTTTTTTTTTTTTTTTTTTTTTATATTAAAATTTTATATTCAAAAGTAGAAATAGAAAGAAAAGAAAAGATTTTACTTGTTATTTTAGAAGTTCAGAAATAAATTATGTTAATCGAAAGGAATATTTTATCGAATGAAAATAATTATTGCATTATGATAATTTTAAAAATCTTTGATTTTACATTCAACTTTCAATTCGTCGGTATAAATTTTGAATATTTTATTTGTAGATGATGAGGAAATATTTGATCCATATACTTTTATGTTACTATTAAATACGCAATGAAACAAGTTTGGCGATATTTAAGAAATAAAAAATATAATGAATTACATTTCATAATTAAAATTCTTTTTATTTCCCGAATAGTGAAGCATCAAAAACAAAAACATAAATTTATTGGAGTTTCAAATTTAAATCTTTCATTATACTTTCAACAAAAACTAGCAAGAAGTGAAACAATATGAATTGAAATTGATTATAGAAAATATAATAATGATTCTCTAAATTTTCATATATAATTAATAAAGACGTTACTTGTATATTATAGCGATGATAATTTCAAGTTTAATATTATAGGAATTAATTAATTTTCTTAATAATTAATTTTAAACTCTACCAAAAATGTAATTACAATAAAACAATTAAACATAATTAGTAATGTATTTTAATAATGAAGCCTCGAGTCATATAATTATTTTAACTAAGTTTTTTACTTATACGTATTTGAATAAATTTATAATTTTATTGTAATTAAATATATTATATTCAGTTAAATATATGTTTATTTAAATTGATTTATTCTAATTACCATTTGGACATTATAAAATCAAATCCCATAACGCATAAGAAATTTTATAAATTTATTATTATTTTAAACATTTATATTATAATAATAGTTTATACATATTTTTTTTTTTTTTTTTGTTTAACGATTACAATAATTATAACAAAAAATAATAATTTTTATCAGCACTAAGTTGATAATTATCTCTTATACGTAATTATCGTAAATTCAGAATTGCAAAATTTTACAGTATTAAAAACTTGCTTTTACAGCTCATTTTAACAAAACTATTCAACTGCTTCGTCATAAAAGTTTTTACTAATCGACGATTTCATGCAAATATTTACAAAGTAATTGTTACATTAATTTGCCGTGATAAATTAACAAGTATCGTTGATACCTTACTTTCATTTACTCACAATAAAGTATATCAATAATATTAACAAACGAGTTGTAGATGAAATAGCGTATGAAGGCGCGGCCACTGAATGTTTATCTCTTCAAATAAATTTGCTTTTAAAGCCACCAAACGAGCAAGCGAACGCGCACTACATTAGAACGAAGTGTACAAGCTTTATCGAGTACACTCATGTACGTAGAAGGCCGAGCTTAATCTTCTGCGTAAGCGATTATTGTGAAAACCGAGAGAAAGAATAGAGTCGGAGAGTGCGAGAGTGCGAGAGTGCGAGAGTGTCAGAGAGAGAGTGAGAGAGAGAGAGCCAGAGAGAGAGAGAGAGAGAGAGAGAGAGAGAGAGTGAGAGTGAGTGAGCAAGCCAGAAGGTTGGGGGGGGGGGACGAATGAACTAGATTATTTATAAAGGCACACAATCTGTAATCTTTAAAGGTAGAAATATCGCTTAGCTTAGATACATATGCAATTTTATAGCGATTATCTATTAAGTATTACATGGCAAGGATTCTTAAGAAACAATGTATATAATTCATGTTCAAATAGTAGAAATAAGCAATACATTATATAATTCTAAAATCAAATCTTTACTTCTTTATCATATGCATTTATGAAAGAATAGAAATTTCTTTATTGCATTCCCAAATAATTATTGACAAAATTCATTAGATATAATAGTAATTTTTATAAAATTAAATATAAATATTTCTATACTTTTATATGCTTATAAAATATAACGTAATACATAAATATTATATAACAAATTATTATACAATTCGATACACATATACATAAAACGTGTATCAAGAAATAAATGTATGAATTTTTATTTTACAAATTGTGATATTTCTAATAAAATATCCTGCCAAATTACTTAAAAAGACAGTAAAAATTTTATTACTTTGATTTCACTTTCTAACATGACATTATCATCATGAATATAATTTTATCACAATTACATATGAAGTATAAATAAAAATAATATTTTGTTATTGAAAAATTATTTTATAAGTATAAGCTTCTTATATGAGAAAAAATGGATATATAATTATAATAAAATATATATGAAATTGTTCTTATATTATTCACATTTATATTTTATAATATCGTTTTTCTATTTTTATAAAAAAAATTTCATTATAAATAAGTATGTATTTTTATTAATACTAATACCATTTAGATACATGTATGCATGAAAGCCTATATTTATTATATAATAACATATATTAAAAATATACTCTATTTATTACAAACTTGAGAATTATTATTTAAATATTTTACGTTAGTTTAAAATTTATTTCTTAATGTCTTAATATATTTCTATCAATAAGTGTAATAATATTAAGAAAATTCATGTAATTCAATTTTAAAATTTTTACGCTTTTATGTTAATATATATGCAAACTATGTAATATTTATGTTTGTATTAAAGTATTATTCTTCGAGGAATTAATGTTGTTAAATAATTACTTTTTTAAGTAATGAATGGTTTCATTCGACATTGCTATCGATAAGTTTTTCCGGCCAATAGAAATATAATTTATTATAGATTCATCAGATTTTTATCTTAAAAGATAAAGTGATTAACCTACACAAACCTGTTTGATCTTCATATTATCGGCAGCTTTATCATTCTTTAACCAAAGAAGTATTCCTCGAAATTAGAATTGCATTTGTAAAAATGAAATAGTAATTTACTTCTTTATTTTATTGGTTAAATGATTATTAAATGATCAACCGTGATCTATACGTGATATCCTCTCAGGCATCTCTCATTTAATCAATAAATAATAACTTGTCTGTTATTTCCTATTCGTTAAGTATCTAAATTTTTTTTTTTTTATGTTTTTCCAACTTTCGTTAATCGACGAAAGTATATTCTATTTCAATATAATATATATTGCAGTTTCTGAAGAATTAAAAACTGCCCAACGGCCAACAGAGAATATTGATTGTGCCGTATAATTTTTTTCCAACTATCCTCTGTATCCAACTAAAATTCTTCAAGAAAACCTTTGACTTCTTATCCTTTTCAGCAAATACATACAACTCCAGCGACTCTCGCAGCAACATGTCCATATCCTTATTCCGTCTTGTATCTCAGCTGTAATAGAGGATTTCGAGGTAATCGTTTTGTAAATGACTCAATCTTCTACATAAATTGAACAGCGAGGCAATATACGGATTAGAACTTAGAACATTTGCGATAGTTTATCCGCATTTCTCTTATGCTATAGTGGAACGGCACTAATTAACGTACTTGCGGTTCTACGTACCCGACCATTGCACGACTCTCAAAATTCTCCTTCTACCAAAGCGCTGTACTTTTGACTGGATTTGAGGTTTCAAATGACAATTATGTCATTCGTCGCTTAACGAAGTACTTGCCGCTTCCAATGCAGATGTAAATGAAGTTTTAAATGTAAATCAACGAGGAAAGCACTTTTACTTCCTTCACTAATATTTCCCAACATGACATCGTGTATATTGTTAAGTTAATTGGTCAAACGCAGATTCCGGGAGTTTAGAATTCGTCGCTGCGAGTCTTTCGAATAAAATTCCGAAAAATACAATTGCCAATAG